TATTGCACGGGATTTGCTCATTTTATTTTGAAATATTTGTTGTTCCTCTTGTGTGAGCGGAAGATTGTGTTGCTTGAGTATTTTTTTCTTTTCTCGCCATCGTCTTTGTTTCTCTGTGTTTTTCTTGCGTTTTTCTTCCTTCTTTAATTTCTCTTGAATCTGTTTACTCTTAAGGACTGCCCTACTTTTCCGCTTTCTTTCTGTAGCTTGTTGTCTTTTTTCACGTTCTTCCTCTTTTTTCCGAGCAAGCCTCTCTCTCTGCTGCCTCTTCTTTACAGCAGCTATAGATTGAGACAACTCCTTTGCTGGTCTCAATAATTTTTGTTTTTGTTTCCATTTTCTCTTTTGTTCTCTGCGTATTTCCTCTCTCTTTTCTTTGATCGTTGAGCAATTTGACATACCTGTACCAATATATGATACAAATTTTATAATTTATATGTAAACTAATATATTAAGGAACGATAAAAATAGTTATCATACAATATATCTATACATATGTCATCCAATAAGGAATGAAATTTGAATTTATTATTGAATGTTTCATAGACAACATAATGGCTGGGGGTCCTCTTTTAGGTACATGTGAAACAATATCATTTAAGATTACCCCCCCCCCCAACAAGGGGAAAAATAAGGAATACTTTTAGATCAATTTTGTTTAGAGCCAAGAAGATTAAATTTACCAAATATTTTTAGAAAAAAAATAAGGGTTTTTTTATTCTTTTTTTTTTAATTCTTTAAAAAAAAAAAAATGTAATCCTTAATTTTAATGTATAATATCTATGCTATCCAATCCAAAGAGCCGTAGGCACACCTGTCGCGGATTAAAATGGGGTCTCTGAGGAGACTTCACCCCGAAATATTTTAATGTAAAAGACTGAATAAAAGAGAGAGAGAAACTATTTTCTTCCCTTTACTAATGCATGTTTTTGAATGATAATAATATACTTTATTTCCAAAACATTTTTTGTTCTCGTCGAATTTTTCTGTCCTAAAAATTGTCTTAATTTGATACTTTTTACCCCCCTCCCTAAACTTTTTAAAGCCGATTCTGCATCTCTGTATATCGTACTGAATCGAACGGGACGGGAGCGTTGCTAGCAATTCAACATTGATAACACCATTTCTTTTTCTTAAAACACACTGAAGAATTAGTATATAGGCCTTAGTTTTGTCGACATGAAAAATTGCGCTGGTATGCATAATATATTGTTGTTTTAAATTGATTACCTTTTAATGAAAGCTATACATGTATTTCTTTGATTCTCTCCCTTCATATTGTCTATGACAACTGTATACAATAACCCCTTATAAACTGTTCATTTGCCACAATTCAGCAAAAACATACATTTATATCTAATGTAATCAAATTCATATTTGATTTAGATAGCAGAAATTTTCGGTATTTGAATTCAATTTGCCGACGGTAATTGGCAATATAAAAAAAAAATATGCATACCACGTATTGTTCCGATTTTTTAAAATTTAAAGTTTGTCCCATATCGTTATCTGTTTATAATCATACTGTATACGTAACATGTGCGTCATTCCAAGGGCGGATCCAGAGGAGTGGTCAGAACCCCCCACCCACCCACCACCACCACCTCCATCTTTTTGCAGACAAAACTACACTTGAGAAATGAACAAAAGCCTTCATAAAAATTAGTATGTACTGATGAATTGTAAGTCTTAAAACTTTCCCATGTCTCCCAAAGAGGAAAAGGAAATGTAAATGGGATGTAGACTGTAAAAACTGTCTAAGCAGTCAGGTTGTGAATTCCCTCTACCCCCCCTCCCCCTTTCATTTTGTGCATCCCCTCCATTTACAATTTTCTGGGTTTAACAATGAATGTGTTGATGTGTCTTAATTAAGGTGAATCTAAACCGTGAACATCTGCGCTTTTTTGTCGCGAGACGTCATAAGTGCAGATCACGTCAAAATCCTGTAGATAGACAAATTAGTAGAACAATTAAACTTCTTCATTAATTCATTGAATATCATTTCTGTTGCAAAACAAAGGAACAGGAAAGTCTAATATGGGTATAATTTTTAGAGAATAAAGAGTTTTTTTGAAAACTTATCAAGTGTTTGAAATAATTGTTTTCAAAGAGTACGAGTTCGGTACCATAGCATTTAAAATCACAGAAAAAACATTAGAAACACTGTCGAGGACATTTGAGTAGACAGAGATTCAGTTAGAATTTCGTATCATATTTTGAGACAAAAAACGTTTTGGAACCAATTAATAAAAAGCATAGTAGGAGATTATAGACCATGAGTAAAATAATAGGAATTGAAATATAAATAAGTCTTATAAACTTGGACTAAATAGAGCTATAGTTTATATTATGAGACGCCATGAAACCGTGAAAGATTTCCTGTGACGGACAAGTAAAAACATGCGAAATTCCACATGAGCTATTTTTATGCATTGAAATTCATAAAATAATGTTTAAGCAGATCCTTGATACACTCCTTTCAGAATTAAATTGCATATTTTTTCTGAAATTTATACGACGGACTAAAAAAAATCAAACAGTAAGGGTTATATGGAATCACAATGTTTAAAAAAAAACATACCGTGACATAGGGGTTTTATATGATATGAGTTTCAAATAAATGCTAAAACGTTTGAAAAGGATTTAAAAATGAACCTGAAATTTTTCAAGAACTCTTGTAAGCATCTGTTTTTGATAGATATTTGTGTAAATCAAATTTCCAGTACTTTAAAAATATACAACACATCTCCATAAACTCCCTTACCTGATCAAACTTTGAATTTATCCCCTCTTTTTTTTCCGAAGTCTACCTTCTATCTTCATGCGTTAAAGGGCGTATTCACTCAGATCTAACGATTTTTACGTCAAATTACTTATGATGTCATAAAGACGATGCTTTTTCCCGCCGACTGATATAAAAACTATCAATATTACAATTTTATAAATCGCTCATACATGTATTACAATTTTGAGTATATGCCTCAAACGTTACCAGTCTACATGTGTGTCTATGCATAAATATCAAAGGTATTAATATCTTAATGTAGATAAAATAAAAAATAATGACATATTTCCGAGTTTCAAAAGATTTTCTAATTTATTTTGAAGCAAAGTACTCAAGAGGTATTATTTATTTACACAATTATAGAGTAATGCATGCCGATATTCTCATTAGAAGGAAAATCAATTCAAAGCGTCACCAACACCGTGCGTAACGTCATAATTATAAATGCGATCTGGTGTTAGGGAGTAATAATTTAATTAATCTACCAGAATTTCTTATTTTTTTGTACCGTTTGAAAATTAAATTGATTACAAAATTTTGCGATTCCTATCCCACAGGAAAGGTGACAATCGGTAATATTTAATTTAATATTTAATTTAGTAAGATATACAAGGTTTCTGAATGGTTCTTCCCTGGTATTTATTACAACCATACACGTAGGTTACTTGAAATACATTTTCTAACAACGACTTACCGTACTAAACAATAAACATACTCGGTAGTAGTTTTGAAACCGACTGTATAGTAGGTTTTAGCATCTCGAGACTGTTAACATCAGGACCTATTGCTTTATTGACAGGGAGTATTGATATTATAATTTCTTGCTAAGTAACTAATGTATCACTCAGTGTATCATTACATGTGGCATAGGTGTCGGAACCAGGGGGGGCTAAACTTATATATACATGTACCCCCTCCCCAACTTTTTTGCAAAGATAGACATAATATATAGGCATTGAAAATTGGGACTAAGACCCCAAACATTTCTCGGGGGGTTGGTTGGTTTAGCCATCCCCCTTTCAATTTGCTTTCGACGCCTATATATGTGTGTTAACTGGATTTTTGAGTCATCCATTTTTAATAAAGACTGAAGAAAATGCTTTTTAACACATCAACCTTATCCTTGTCTCTTTCAGATTTATCCAAAATAATTAAAGTTCTCTTATTTCAAATACTGTAGATCGCTAAATTTTCGCGACATCTTATTTTCGCGAGATATTCAATGTCTACTTATTAGCGGGACAAAATTTTCACAAATTGTGGTTATTGCTCCATATAATCATAAGGATTACTATTATACGCGAGAATGAAATTTTCGCGAGCACATTGTTTCGCGTAATCACGCTAAAAATAAAGTTGATCGCAAATAAAAGGTGATTTACAGTAATGCTAACAGTGTGGTATACATGGAATACAGTTTATAATGTATCATGCATGTACACACTGAGACAATCAAACTTGACTGCAATAAAACTTCGATAGCCTTAATGTTCAATGATTATATGATATAATCGTATACTCTATTGTTTTAAGCTTGCACCAGTAATTGAAAATTAGTGGATTCATTAATAAATTATGGGGGAAAAATGAATACTACTATAGGAAACCACTGAAATGACTTAGTGAAGTTGACAACTTTAATTACGGTTAAAAAAAATGCGAATTAAACTCTGAACAGTGATTATTGATCATGTAATCTTAACTTTAAATGATGAAATGAATAATTGGAAAGAAGTTATTAAGAAAAATATCATTTCTGAATGTTCAAAAGGATTTGATTTGTTATTGCATGTACCTTCTTTACATCATGAATAAAAAAAATTCGGTCACCATCTGAATTGAAACACGTTTATCAAATGTTGTGAAGTACTTATGCAACTTAAATGGTCGTCAAAATTGCGAAACATCATTTCAATAGAAATTTTAGCTTCAGAAAATACATAAAATATCAATGTTATCTAAATTTTTTACATTTTTTTTAACGATTATACATAACATAAATCAAGCTCGTCACTGCACTGAGCCCATATCACTGGGCAAAAATGATTGATGTGTATTAAAATATAAAATGATCTTCATAAGAAAAATTTTGATGTTAATTCAAACTATGGGGACCATTAGTTACTTTGACTTCGTCACCGGTTTTATCTTTACTGTATCAACTGAGCTTAAAGCAAAAATCTCATCACGTCTACAGCATTCATTCATAACACAATTAACTGGCCGGAGGTGGCATTCCGGGATATTGTGGCGGATTGTTCGGAGGAAATACCGCGGGGGGTGGCCCATCAATGTTCCCCGGCAGATGAGGTCTAAACGGCGGGGGAAACCTACCCGTTGGAGGATAGGCAGGGTTGCCTCCGTAGGAATGCATGTACCCACCTGCAATTGACAGAGATTGAAGATAATTATTTTACGTATTTCAAATTTTCATGAGACACTCTGAGGTTTATTTTAATTTCCCATTTAATAAGCTGCACCACTTTAATACACTAGTACTTTATAAATTAATAAATATAGCAAAATTGCCTTTTGAAGCCCCCCTCCTTTGGTACAAGATCATTTATAAATTTTCAAAAATTAGTGATATAATAACAATAAATAACTTTAAAAAAAAAAAAAACAAAAAACAAATACCATACCATAATAAAGAAAGAAAATGAAAAAAAGATGTAATATCTACTTCAGATATATATTTAGAAAAATATGCCGGAAAATATTAAAAAAAAAAACAACTTAATTGTCTTAATTTGGTCATAATATAGTGGACAATTGAAAAAAAAAACAACAAATTATCTTCATAGAAATAGTTACAGATTTTACTTGATGAATTGTCTGTTAATGATTAAATAAGTCTGCAATACTGGCTCTATTTCTGAGTGGACAATACAAAATGTTTTCTTTCCGCTTTCCATAATCAAATATTTTGATTTTTTAGTATTCATTTATAACCGAGATTTAATTGCAGCCACTGATGGGTTTTTATTTTAAAACTTTTATATATAGATATTTCATTCCAAAGTTTATATGTACATGTAGATGGTAAAGAAATATTCATACAGGATGCTGTTCTTAATTTTGGAACGGGAAAAACTTAATCCCCTCTTAGATTGTGAAAAGAGAGAGAGAGAGAGAGAGAGAGAGAGAGAGAGAGAGAGAGAGAGAGAGAGTTGACCTGGTGGTCCGGGAGGGGGATGAAAATTTGTAATGGAGTGTATCTGTGTGGTGCCATTACTCCGGATTTCCACCACCCGTGTTTGGTTCTGATCTTTCTTTTTACAGTAGACGATGGCAGCAATCACAACCGCTAAGGCTACAACACAACCCACCACTATTCCAGCGATGCTCCGACTGTCCCTGAAAATAATAAATCTTAGATACATTAAATTCTGATGATTAGTTTCTGTTTCTTAGAGTAAAGCTTTTAAAAATGATATTAAAAACAATCGATAAATGAATTTTTTGGAAGTCTTTTTATACACATGTAATTTTAAAGTACACGATATAAATAAATAAATAAGTAAGTAAATAAATAAATAAATGAATAGATAAATAATTATAACATAACAAAACTATCATATTATAACGTTTAAAGTTACAATGAGAAAAGGTAAAAAAAAATAATAAATACATTTTAAGTAAATGAAAAAGGGGCCACAATGGATAAATGACACCCTCACCCCCTCCCCCCGGAAAAAAAGGACTACGAAAGCAAGCTAAATATTTTGTTTACATGTAGTTCCTAATTAAATAAACAAACTTCATGACTTCAAAATTTATTTTATCCGAGGAATCCTAATGCAGACGAGAGGCGAACCATGATGTCAATGATAACTCACGACATAAACAACAGATTAGAGAAAACAATGTTCTGCTTATTTCCTAAAATTATGACAAATTTCTGAGTGAATAATATAATGAAAATGTATTTCCGTCGAAATTTTGGTATTTAATAAACGGACAAAATTCACTGATGAAGATAAGAGAGTTAATCATCAACGTTGGAGTTATCTCTCCTAGAACAGGATCCGTCTCTGCTTGATATCAGCCCCCCTCTTTTCCCGGTTCCTACGGGCCTGCTATTGTTGTTATAGCAGTAATATCTTGAGTGGATGTTTGTGTGCTATAGTACTTACAAGTAACTGTTGTTGTTGGAGCAGTAATACCTTATGTGGATGTTTGTGTGCTATAGTACTTACAAGTAACTGTTGTTGTTGGAGCAGTAATACCTTGAGTGGATGTTTGTGTGCTATAGTACTTACAAGTAACTATGGTTGTTGTTGGAGCAGTAATACCTTGAGTGGGCGTTTGTGTGCTATAGTACTTACAAGTAACTGTTGTTGTTGGAGCAGTAATACATTGAGTGGGTGTTTGTGTGCTATAGTACTTACAAGTAACTGTTGTTGTTGGAGCAGTAATACCTTGAGTTGATGTTTGTGTGCTATAGTACTTACAAGTAACTGTTGTTGTTGGAGCAGTAATACCTTGAGTGGATGTTTGTGTGCTATAGTACTTACAAGTAACTGTTGTTGTTGTTGGAGCAGTAATACCTTGAGTGGGTGTTTGTGTGCTATAGTACTTACAAGTAACTGTTGTTGTTGGAGCAGTAATACCTTGATTGGATGTTTGTGTGCTATAGTACTTACAAGTAACCACTGTTGCTGTTATAGCAGTAATACATTGAGTGGATGTTTGTATGCAATAGTACTTACAAGTAACTGTTGTTGTTGGAGAAGTAATACCTTGAGTGAATGTTTGTGTGCTATATTACTTTCAAGTAACCGCTGTTGCAGTTATAGCAGTAATACCTTGAGTGGATGTTTGTGTGCTATAGTGCTTACAAGTAACTATTGTTGTTGTTGGAGCAGTAATACCTTGAGTGGATGTTTGTATGCTATAGTACTTACAAGTAACTGTTGTTGTTGGAGCAGTAATACCTTGAGTGGATGTTTGTGTGCTATAGTACTTACAAGTAACGGCTGTTGTTGTTGGAGCAGTAATACCTTGAGTGGATGTTTGTGTGCTATAGTACTTACAAGTAACCGCTGTTGTCGTTGGAGCAGTAATATCTTGAGTAGCTATAGGAATAATAGCAGTAGTTGGCCCTAGTTTGTGACACTGCAATAAAATAACATATAGACAAGGTATCTCTCTGCTTTATACAACTGAAGACTCATATAATATTAAAAGTACTTATTCTCGAAAGCCGAGGTTTCTTTTGTTAACATATTGTAAGATTTAAATAATTCATGTGCATATCGGGTACAGTAAAATACAGTGTACAATTATTATCAAATTTAGGGATAAATAACACAAACAAACTTTTTTCCCCAAATTCAGATAGCTTTGCTAAATTAGGTGCCTTTCTCACTGTAGAAGTGATATTTGTTTATTCAAACAACTTATGTTTGTCCAAGGCACATTATTTGGCAAAAAGTGCAAAAAATGCACCTTTACAGTTCAAAATGTTTTTTGAAAAGTTTATAAAACGTATTCAGTTTTCTTGCTTCAAAGTTTCTGGGGACATTTTCAAGAGTGTATTTTTACATTCTAACTAATTAAAATTTATTAATTAGTAATTTATAATTACATATCCATTGAAAGAAATATTGAAAAAATACCAGTGTAACTCTTCTGTGTTGAAGATAAGAAAATTTGTTTGTGGTATGTATCCTCAAAACATGACAACTGTTGTCATATTGTAAATTTATATTGAATTAACTGTCGCCTGTGAAGGTGAAATATCCCTCTGCTCTAAACTTCACCAATTGGATTGCTTGGAATAATTTCCTTGGAAAGTTATCTCTCTTATCAGAGAGTCATTACACCTTACATTCATATTTTACAAACTGACATTACATTTTTTTTCAAACAAAAACATTCGAGGAAAAATGTTTTGCTTGATAAAGTTTAATTCCCTACTAATGATAATAAACTAAAATGGAAAGTTTTTGGTTAGTAAAAGCCAAGTTTTGTATTTTATGTAACACAAAAACTTACCCAATAAATTCAAGCTGTCTTGGCCAAAGAAACTATAAATTTCATTTCATGGATATGATTCAATGTTTTGGATATAACGAAAATTAAAAAAAAAAAAAAAAAAAGGAAGAAAAAAGGAGAGCCATACACATAAAATATTTCTTTCTTTTTTTCTACTCACAATGTTTGCTGGAAGGCAATATCAATCCAGATTTGCTCTTTTTATACATATGTAGTAGAAATCAAAAAGAAATTTTTCTGAAGGAATAAACAAATAAATGACTTCTCTGTCCGTCATTTTATTGACTGCATCATTTCAACGAAAATGCAAATGAATGAAAGATTTTCGGTGCTTCCATTACGAAAAGTTGACATGCTCCTTTTTTCGTGAATTAAAAAAAAATGATTTGATGCTCGATATACCTGTTAGAGGGTGATCCAGCATCAATCTTCATTTTAATTTTTTTTTTTTTTTCATGCAAACGTGTAAATAACCGTTTTTGATTGTGAGTAGCATTTTTGTGTCACCTGCAGAGTAGAGCGGCACTTAGGGATCACTTTACTCGGCGTCTGTCTGTCCGTCTGTCTAGCTGTCCGTCTGTCACACCTTATATCCCAAGAACTGTGAGGTATGGATTTTGTATTTTGCACATATATTGCTTGGAACTATGGCTTTTGTAAATACCATGGTTACCAATCTAGTGACCCTTGACCTTTGACGTTCTTTCCAAAATAGGTCATAGTGCCTATATACAGCATATTTTTGACATTTAAGAGGTTAGTCTATGCTATTTAGCATGTGCCCTGTCTATCATAAGACATTATGAAAATACCAGCATTTCAATCCACTTGACATTCAATTTGGCCTTTGACCTAATTTAACTTTAATTTAACTTATTGCCAACAATACCTCGGGCGATTTAATTTAACTTATGTCTTTTTGAATTTTAAGAGGCAGGTTTTTGATAATTAGTATTTATACATGTTTATGAGCTCATGCTACTGTACTTTGAAACTGTATCATATTCAGTTACCACAAAAACTTATATTTATTTAAATACTATAAAAATACATCGGCATTGGTATTCCACAATGGATCGTGTAGACTGTCAGACAATTGTAGTAAAAACAGACTGAAATCTCTTTTGGAGGATTGTGGGAAGCACGTATTAATAAAATAATAAATCATTATACTCGTAGTTATTTCTAATAATTTCAATTTAATCATTCATTTGAAGGTTAGGGAAACCATATTTTCTTTGATTGTCAGATTCAATCCCAATCTTATACTATCCATGAATGCCGTTTTTTCTTTGCAGGCAAATGCATGGATATCATGCTAATTAAAAGCTGACCACTATCATCTTTAATGAAGCTACAAAGCAGGAGACGCATGCGTCCACTCTATAATATACTAAGGACAACCATATTTTCTCTACCTTTACGAATTCTGTGTAAGTCAAATTATATAAATATAAACCTCTTCTATAATATACAGAAGAATAAATCAACTTATATTTTTATCAAAATCATACTTACAAGAAACAAATATTAAACCAATAATTATAGCTGACTTCATCTTTTTCAAAAGTTTTACTCTGTGTTAAAAACAACGAAACAACACTACCAGCAACTGGCAATTAAATTCAATGGCATGTATTTAATATTTACTGTTTCTCATAGTTAACAAGACTGCAAACAAATAAAACAAATGAGGAATGTTCGGAGTTGTGGATGCCATTGAATATTTTACCAATTATTTTACTTAATCGATTTTCAAGTCCTACCGATAGAATTTAAGGGGAAGAGTTAATCATGTTCCCCAAACTTATAAGTTTATGTACCTACATTTTGTTTTCTCCTTAGAATTGTCCTATCAATGACGTATTTATCCGCCATTTGTCTTAGATAATTATTCATACATTTGAGATAACATTATCAATATGTCACTAAGTGGGAGGCAACCATGCCCTCTGCATGCATGTGTACGATTGTTTGCGTTGAATTCAGGTTTACAGCATGAACAACTTCGACATGCTTTCTTAAAAATACAACTGATTACTTTGTACAATTGATTTCCTATAGCTTAATGAGACATGTTTACTGATGAACAAGTTTGCCATGTACTTCAAGTTAAAGATATTTGCAAACATACAAAAAGTAAAAAATGTAACAAATAAACTAAAAAAAAAAAATCATATTTCAAAATTTGCGAGGCTGAACATCTTGAGCCCTTCTCCACTTTTGCCCCTTTCCTTTGTCTTAGAGAAAAAGTAGTTATTTCTAATGCAGTGATTTTCATATTGGAGGGATAAAGTTGGGTGGCAATCCATATGTTTCTTTCTAAGAGAACTGGGATATTTATCCCCCCCCCCCCCCAAAAAAAAGTGAAAAATAGAATGTTTTCATTAAGTAATCTCAGAACTATAGGAGCTTGGGGACTCTTCATTTACTGTCCAGAAATTTATTTCAGCCAATTCAGAGTTATAATGTAATAAAAATGTTTATTAACTATTGACTTTTGAAGTGGTTGTCTCATTCGACTGTAATCATATAACATATAAGGGGGGTGGGTGGGTGGGTAGTGGGTAGGGGGATAGGTTCCAACAATTTTCAGTACCAACTTTTTTTAATACACTACTTCACTACTACATTGCCCTTATTTGACAAAAGGGGGAGGGGGGGGGGAACCGGCCTTTCAATTAACATTTTCAATAGTAAAAAAGTTTTATTTAGAAAAAAGTGGGGGCCAGCCCCCCCCCCCCTCCCCCTATGCTACGAGCCTGGGTCTGGAAGGGGTTTCATTTCCTGTGAGCCAGAATTTCTTTTAGAAATGGGTACCATTTTCATAGGTTCTAATGCTTTCTGAAGTCATTTCTTCAAATAATAAGTAAATAAATAAAAATCTAGCAATATTTCTTAAACAAATAAACAATATTTTTGGCCGTTTCAACAATGCTATCTTCGAGTGCTTTCTTTTGGGGGGGGGGGGGCGCACCCAACACATCTGCCGTTCCGACAGTGGCCTTGAAAACTAAAAAAGAAAAAAAAAACGATTAATTTTCACATTATTTAATCAAACTTGATGCACAGGGGCTTGTAACCGAAGTGTAAAAAAAATATTTATTAAAAAATTGCACACCAACTACTAAAACTGCGTCTAGTTGGTATCTATGTTTTACACGGAACAGTCATTCTACGAAAGTTAATGCTTGAACAAATCTTATCATTGCTAAAATAAAGCTGAATTTGACCAATTTTTCGTTTCGGATGTTCAGTATGAACGCTAGAGTATGATTCAAGAAGTCTAGCATGAATCCGATATTAAGTTAGAATTTCGGGAAAAATATCGTTACGGAAGTTAATTCCCTGCAATAAAAGTTAAAATTCTCGACAATAGTGAAAGTTAAAGTTTGTTTTAGGATATTAAACAAAAGTATGAAGCATTTCGCTCACAAAATAATAAAAAATCTATATACCTTTAATGCAAAAACTTTCCTGAATTACCATTACGGAAGTTATAAATTTTTAAGATAGACAACTATTTTTGGCTAATTCATTTTGTTATAATGTCGAAAATATAATCGTCTAAAACTAGAATCGATGATATTAGGTTCCATGGTCACTTTCAGATAAGTTTCAGTTCTTTTTGAAATCTGCAATCTTCTCGTTACGGAATTTAATCGATTTTTAGCGACATGCTATAATTTCGCATGAAAGAAGATCCATGCATTTCTTTGCAAGAAGTGGTGCAAGAAGTGGTTTGATTTCTTTTTATATAGGATAAAAAACTAAATGCTAATCCTATATATTTACATGTGCCTTTCTTTACCCTTTCAGAACATAATTATTCAATTTTTTAGTATTTATAACTTACAAAAAAAAAAAAAACCCAAGAAAAACATATTTATTATTTTTACAAATCTATAGATTTCTCCACTCAGAGAAACCTGATCCCTATAAATTATCTACTTAATATCCAGTAGAAGAAGATTTTCATCCGTAGGAGTTTGTACGATTAATTTAAAATATAATATGAATACCAAACATGAATTTAAATAAATTTACATTTGTTTTTGTTACAAGTATCAAATTAAACGAATAAGCAACATTTACCTTTTATAAAACAAATTTGGATTAAAATTAATTTGGTTTTAATTCTTGTTATTGCAGGTTATCATTTGTTGTTAATTTTTTTTATAAGAAGGATCACATTAAAGATTTTCTTTATAAGAAAAGGGGCACAACTTTTAAACATTTCCTGCTACGCGATATTTACAAAATTGAATCAAGGAACTGAGAGTACTGGGAAGTGTTTAATTGCACTATTAAAATTAATTTCCTATTTTATTGGAATTAGTACCGACGCCAGTAAATGCTTAATGCAAATGCAACCCTAATTGTTCATTTTAATTTTCACACAACTTTTTTTATATACTTTCGTTAAGGAAGATATATGCCACATCAGATAATTAATTATATTCTGAAAGGAGAAAGAAATGCATGTAAAATTAGAATTTACCAAATGGCCATAGGAACTGGGGGGGGGGGGGCACGGGGGGGGGCGTGCCCGCCCAATAATTTTGCCGGTATATAGATTACTATAGTAAACATGAATACTATATATGCTTGTGCCCCCTCAATAAAAACGTCTGATGACCCCCTTTTTTTTTTTTTTTTGCTTGTCAAGGAATTTTTGGTAGTTGATCACATTTTTTTTTTGCCTGTCAGGAAATTTGTGGTACTGCCCCCTCATCTGTCAACTGAAAATGTATGGCTGTGCCCCCCCCCCCCCCAAAAAAAAAGAAAACTGAATTTGCTTCCTACGGGCCTGTACCATGAGACATAATGGGATCCAAATACAATTTTATGTAATATTTCATTCATTTATGAAGGCAATATATTGAACAAAAAAAAAAAAAAAAAAAAAAAAAAAAAAATCTATAAACAATACAATTCCGTGTAAAACATGGACCCCTGCATGGAAATTACAGAGTTTGGATCAGGGGCTTAGAATGCGTAAATACAAATACAAGATGGCTTTCTTTATTCTTTGATAACAATTTAAAGTCTTTGAGTCTAAACCGCACCAAGAAAGGAGAGACAAAGGGAAATTTAATTGCCATAGATTTAGATACAGATGATAATAGGGTTATTTCATAAACATTCGTGGTCCTAATACTGATACTAGTAGTCCTGGGTTTTATGAATATGTTTGTGATATTTTTTGGAACTTGATAATAATATTATATACTCTTAGGAGACTTCAGTCTTCCATTAAATCCTGAGCTAGACACAAAAATTATACTTAAGTTAATAAACCAAAGGGTAGGGAGAAATTGTTGGGAATCATGGATGACCTTCAACTATTAGACTATATTTTAGAATTTTGAATCCAGATAGAAGGGTTTATACATGACAAAGATGCCCTTAAAACAAGGTCGCTTAGATTATATTTTGATTTCTGAAAGTTTGTCCTATTCTTTGGGAACTTAATTATTTGATTATATCATGTAACAGATCGGACCACTCCATTGTTGTTTTAAAACTAAAAGAAGATGGTCGTATTTGGCGTGTGATCTGCATGAATTATTTGTACGAAATATTTATAATTTAATATTGTTTGTATTCTAGCCTCTGATTGGTTAATATCCAAAAAGGAACACAAATTATTTCTGTATAACCTGGTTTGGTATGGGGACACACCCCCCTGACAACCAGCTGAATCATCTGTATCCATGCAATCCTCTCATTTCCAGTCCTCGGGATTCATGGAAAATTCCAGATTTAATAAATGTACCTTTAACTTCAAACAGTAACTTGGATCTTACCACATGTAAACAAACAACATGGCTGCTAGGACTGTGTATCAGTTTTTACCTCCCCTCGCTTCCCATCACTTCCGTTACTAGGGTTGTATTATTGAGCGGCAAATTTGAACTAATAAAAAGCAACGAAATTTTACACCCACAGTTGTTTAATGATTTTAGAATTAAATTATAAGGAATGACTCTAATTCTTGGCCAAATTATTCGAGTATAACCTGGTTTGGGTCAGTTTACGCTGTTTTATAATCCGCTTCGCGGATTATAAAGCGTAAACTGACCCAAACCAGGTTATACTCGAATAATTTGGCCAAGAATTAGAGTCATTCCTAAAATAGTTTAAATGCCCACGATTTGGTCGGCTGACAACAGCTGGACAGGCTTTACAAACTTACGCACATAGGAAAATATTATATTTCGTTTGAAATACCATGTCAAATTGTAATATTTCAGTCCACATATCTTAATAATTACTATAACATAGCACCATTTCACATAAATAATAAACATATAATTATATATAAGCTAATAGGGTAGTTGCTAGGTTGCGCTATGACATTTTCAAGATTTACGTCACTCAACTGAAAAGGGCTAGTTTTGTACATTTTTCGACTGGTTAGGGTTAGTCTTGCACCCACCTGAAAGATTAGGGTTAGTCCTTGTACAAGTTTTCGACTAATTAGGATAGTCTCGCATCCATCCGAGAGATAAGGGTTATATTCCTCGCACATTGGTTAGTCTAGGATCCGCCTCG